CTTATTATATCAAGTTGTCCAATCACACATAACTAAGTGTTTTTTTATATAAATTTATAATTAAGTGTTTTTTATATAAATTTATAATTAAATATTATTAAATGCTAATATTTTTTTATATATATGATTAGAAGACTTGACATAGTAAATATGAGAAATTTAATGTAAGTTTGTTCTAAAAAGAAAGGAAGAAAATAATCTGGAGAATAATTAGATGAAACGAAGAGATTGATCCCGCAAAAGAAAAAAAGAAAAACAAAGATTGAAAATTTTTCTAAGCAGCATGGGGAGCAACGACGTTAACTCAGAATTCTGCCGTCACTGGCCAGGAAATTCTTTTGGATCTGTTTGATACGAGGGACACGAAGGAAAAGGAGTGGAGGAGAAATTTTAATGAATTCATTTTAAAAATTTTTGATAAAAATTAAATATAAGATAAAAGAGTAAGAAAATTTTATTAGAAAATTTTAATTCTACTTTTTTAATTTTTTAAAACGAGTTCATTAAAATTTTTCTTCTCTCTCCCTCCTTTCAATTTCCCTTGTACCAAACCGACTTTAATGCTGTGTTTGACTCGACGGAAGAAAAAGAAGATGAGGGATTTTAATCAAGAAAAAGAGAGGGGAGGGATTTTAATGATCTCCTGTTTGGATTGATTGGAGGGGAGGGGAGGAAACAATTTTAATAATATCTTATTTTGTTCTAATAAAAAAATTGACTATTTTAACCTCAAAATTTAAATGAATTTTTTCACTTTTTTATTTTGTTAAGATATAACTATATATAATGCAATTCACCAATTTTGATTTACAAGACACAGTCACACACTTATAGAATATCAAGATAAAAAGTCATGAGTGATAGATTTCAATCAGAAAAAAAACCTTGAAGGTGAAAGAAAATACCGAAGGCCTCCTAGAACTAGAAGAAGAGGGAAAAAAAAAAGTTTACAATGCTCACTAATTTTGAAGACAATTATCTCCTCAACCTCTTGCTAGATGCTCAAAAGAACTCTTTTATGTAGAAATATTTACGACTGATTAGGGGTTAACAAATCGAAAGGATATATGAAGAATTAAATTATTATCTCTCATCTCTCTTCCAAAAAATCTTACTTTTGGAAGGGAGGTTAGAAGAGAAGAGAAGGGGAGAAGAGCTCTCCTTTTTTTAAAAAACATTTTAACCAAACGAGGAGAGGAGAGTTGCTCCCCTCCTTTCCTAAAAAATTGCACTAGCCAAATAAGGGGAGGATAGCAACTTCCTTTCCGTTCTTTCTAAAAATCCTGTACCAAACATAGTGTAAAGAGAGTACAGAAACATTTTCTTTTGTAAGTCTGCCGTTATCTAATTAATTATAAAACCGGACTCGGTCAATTGGCTTTAGGACCACAGAAGGGATACGCACACAATATTATTAAGTTATCCAAAATCTCATCGGAATATCCGATTTAATCCTTATTCAATTATTCCAATAGTTAAAATATAATTAAATATAAATTATATCCAACATGTTTTTTTTTGCCATAATATTTTTAAGGCATGATTTATTTGTGAAAAATATTTGGGATCAATTTTGTAAATGTTTATGTTATACAAATGTGATAGGTTGAAAAACATTAGAACGAAATGAAATGATTTATATATAATCCTACTTGTGTTTAATACAAGAGCTAATTAAGAATTAGATTTGATCTTAAATATAAAATGTTAATTCATTTTATCTTCCAAATTTATGATATTTTTGCCAAAATATCCTTATTAATTAGTTTAGGTGCCTCCCACATGATTAAAAAAAGGTAATAGAAATAAGTCAATACACATTTTTGTTATCAATGAGAAACTTAACTAATTTTTTAAATTTTTTAAAATTAATTAACAAACTTTTATATTAAGAATACGAGAGAGTGTGTTTTTTTTTAATTATAAAGTATATATACTCCTTCAGTTCTTAATATAAAACTCACTTAACTAATTTGATTAGATTAATAAAGTTAGGTAAGTTAGTTAATTATAAAAACGTGACACGTTTTTCCTAAAACACCATAATCATCTTTCTTAATACCCCATCTCCCTCTTCTACTTAATTATGATTGAGGGAATATCTATAGGTGTAATTTAGAAAAAATTGATAAATATGATAAATGAGTCTTATATTTAGTATTAAAACTAACTCAACAGTTGGGTCTTATATTAAAGACCGGAGGAGTTCAATATAACGGTGGCGTCATTTCATTAATTAGCCCCACACAAACGATGTCTTGTTCTTGTTGGCTTGATGTCCCGGAATATACCCACAATGTCGCCAAATCCGAAGTGTATTCTGGTCAATGGCGTGTTTGTCTTATCATGATTAGTAAGTCCACATTTTCTTGGCCCTTTTCTACGTTAAAAGAGAGTGTGTGTGTGTATGTTTATATATTTTTGCATAAACAGCTAGTATCCTGAGTCAAGTTATCTTTCAGGCACAACAACAGGTTCAAATTAATTCTAATAGAGGTTTAACAGGAATTATTAAGATTGACCTCTTGACCCCTAAGATGTTGCATTCCCACATCTCAAATTTAAGACCCGTTTAAACTAGAACAGTCCCAAGCCAGTTGATCTAAAAGAGTATATATTGAGTGTCCTCAACAATAATAATATGTGACGTGCATAGGCATTTTAAGTTGTGATTAACACTTTGATCTCTCTCTCTCACACGTGTATATATATTGAGAAGGTTCAGATTCTCTCAAAATCTCTTCCTCTCATTTCTCTCTCAGAATCACATTCGACCTCTTGTTTCTCGAAAGTCTTCGACGGTGGTCATAAACATCAACCCTTAATGAGAATATCAATGTTATGAGCACAAATTTAAAGGGAGAATTTCATCTCAAAATAAATAAATAAATAAAAGAAAAGAATAGCCTATTTAGAGGGACAGGCTTTTAAACTTATAAACCATACTACGTTTGTAAGATTTTCAAATGCGAGACTCATAACAAATTGCATATATGCTTTTGAGAGGCGGATAACAATATGTTCTCTGAAATTGACTGATAGATTTTAAAATTGACTTCCTCAATTTCCTCAGGTCCTAGAAATCAATACTCAATTGGTGACGAGAACTGCATGAAATTCCATGTGAAGAGAACACTTCCATTGATGAAAAGTTCACTATGCCAACTGGAATTGCATGGGGGATTTTGTGCACGTTTGCGTGAGAAGGGTATTTATTTACCCGTATGATTAGAACAGTCGTGGGTCATTTTCACCGGATTATGGTAATTATATGGAATTTTCACACCATTTAGGTGGCTATGTGTAATTCCCACATCAGTAGGGTACTCAAATAAAATTCTTGTAAGATCATACAGCTACTCCGCTTGTTCGAAAATTAGAAACAACACCCGGCTGAAATTTACAAGTTATATATAAAGACCCCATTGGCACCCATGTGAAAACGAAAAATAAAAAGAAACCAACGAATTACGGTGAGTAAAATTTTTAAACAAGCGAGTATTAATGCAGCCGAACCAATTTTATTCCAAGGGGATCTCCCACTTTATTTGTTCTATCAATTATCACAGTTTGTTTGTTGAAAATCTCAGTTCAATAACATCTCACGTTCTCAGCTCACAAAAAAAAAAAAAAAACCATCTCGCGTTCTGTAGCCTTGTAAAAACGGGTGAGTGGGTTCCTTCTCCCCATAAGAGACGGTGGAATTGTTCAGCCCAACACAATTATTACTACCTCCGGTCTTTAATATAAGATCCTGTTTGACTTTTATTTTGATTCTAAATATAAGACCTCAATTCACTTTCTCTCTCATATTTATACATTTTTTCCAAAGTAGTCATTCTAATAATAAGAGTTCTAGTCAATACATTTGATTAGCAAGGATATTTTAAAAAAGACAACACCTATTTAGGACAAATAACTAACTCAACTTACTTTCTTAATCTCCTCAAATTAGTCAACTGGCTTTTATAATTAGGACCGGAGGTAGTATTACTATTCACCACCAAAAAAAAATCCAAATTTTTATGAGGTATTGATGAATGCTGATTGATATTGGCGATATAGATGATGGTTCTTCCAATTCATGGGTGGCCTCCCCACATAACCGACAAATAGTAGAAGAGCCACAAGATTTCATTCATACAAGTTTAATCACTTAAGACTTGTTGATAAGAATTAAAACACCGTAATTTTACTTGGGAGAATTGCAATAGAATCCATATGAAAAGAAAATAGTTTCTAAAAAGTCTCAATAACAAATGAAAAATTATCATTTTTTATTAAAAGTTGTTATTACATACTACTCTCTTGTCATTGAGATTTTATAATATTTATGTTCCTTTCTTGGAACCTAATTGCAGTTGTCCCATTTTATTTTGTTCAGGATTTGTATCTTCAATATGAACCCAACAGATGACTGCTACTTGTACAATCTCACATGACCCACACACAACTTAATTAAACCCTGCAAAAATGAATGCTTCTTCAGAACAACTTAATTATAAAGTGCTTAATTATAAAAACTAAAGCTGTTACATTACAGCAATATAAAGTGCTTAATTATAAATTGGAAAGGGAGCAACGGGTGAAGCCAAAGAACAAGACTATGATAACTCAATCATTTTTATCTGTAATGCTCAACAATACAAAACTGTCATACTGCTTAACTCCACCCAACAGGGCCATCCACAAAGCATACATTTTATTGGAAGCATATAGATATATTGCTACACAAAAAATACCAAATCGGTATTTGACAATCACACTAGTTAAAAGTAGAAAAACCTTACATTCATTCCTTGTATGGTCAACTAGAACAAGGAATCTCACGCATGAACACACACACACACATCACTAGACACACTTTCAACTTTTCTGGCTAGCAAAAAAGTATTCCCTATTAAAGGCAATCTTATTTTAGGAACTATCGGGCACTAAATGCTAAATGCAAGCACCAATCCCAATAGAAACTCAAACACTTCCAACTTGGTTTGTTATACTGGGTCGCCTGAGGCTCAAATTGGATCTCAAAAAGCTCAATCAGAGCCCCTTCTATAAAGCCTATGTACAAACCGATATAAACCCAAATCCAAGATTCCAACTTTTTCTTCAATAAGCTCTAGAAGTTCAGTTCAAAAAATAACCATAATTAGAGCCCTATATGAGATTGTATAATCTAATATACTGCCATGTGTATGAATGATTTGATTTTCTTTTCGTTACCATTCGTGGAAGGAGATGGATCGCAGAAATAGATGTGATCCCTCCCAGTTCAGTCATATTTTCTCAGTGCCAACTTCAGCTGGGCCCTCTCATTGGGCCTGGGCCGTAAAGGCCCAAATTCTGCTTCTCTTTCATTGAGTTTATCTTCTCCAGTTTCCATTCCCCTCTCAGCCTCGCAATGAAGGTCGCAGCTTTCACGTTCACATCAGGGCTGGGACAGGAAATGGTCCCACCCATTTCCATTTCGGGCGGGTCTTCCTTGGGTTTCGGGTCATTTGGGTCTTCTTCGGGGTCGGGTGAGCCGCACCGCGAGCTGTTAGTGCTGCGTATCCTCACAAAATCCCCGCGAACGGTGAACTTCATCTCCGGAATCTTAAACGGTGGCGGAGGTGGTGGAGGGATCGGGATCAGTGGTGATTGATTGCCGCTGTTTAGTAATGTCTCGTTGTGGAAAGTGCTTGTTCTCGCGGGCAATGGCGGCCTACCGGCGTTTCGACGCCGAAGGGGTTCAGCTGCTGGAGGAGGAGGCGGTGGGGGTGGCGGCGGGATCTTGGGCTTTCGAAATGACCATCGCTTCGAAGATGTCAATGGCGGTGGAGGTGGGGGAGCAGGAGGTGGAGGCGTTGAGACAGAATGAATTTTCTTATTCTTGCCTCCTCCCATCTTGAACCAACTGTGGAAAACTGACGGCGGAGGAGGAGGAGGGGGAGGCGGCCGAGGCTGTTTCGCACTGAGGTTGTCTTCATTGTGAATATGGTCGACCTTTGTTGTTCTCTGCGTTCTCTTCCTCTTTTTCTGATTGGACAGTGAAGCCCACACCATTGCTATTTCCCTCTTCACATTACTCTTCCTCCGTTGATTCCTTCCACGTTTATGCTCCCATTCTGTTTGGAACGACGGTGCCGGAGGCGGGGGCGGGGGCGGGGGCGGAGGTGGTCGTGGCGGAGAAGGATTCCTCGTGATATCATTATCATCGACCTTCACATGTTCCACCTTATTCTTGCGCGGGACTCTCTGATATGTTCGCCTAGATTTGGGCCGAGCAGTAGCTGGCGGATGAGGTGGAGGCGGCGGCGGAGGAGTAGGGGGAGGCGTCGGTGACTTCGGAGCCGGTTGAGGTGGCTGCGGCGACGAACTGCGAATTTCAAAGGTATCAACCTGAATTTCCTTCACATCAGCCTCTTCTCCAACCTTCTGCTCAACATTTTCCGGCCGCATGCGGATGTCCACCGGAATCTGCTCCCTCTCCGGCGATCGAAACCTGTCGATTTCAAAATCATCAAAGAAACGATACCGATGCCTATCACTCTCAGTTTCCCACAACGACTCCTGCCGGAGATCGGGATAAGAGCTACTGCTTCTCCTCAGCCGGGAAACTCCAGTCATCGGAGACTGCAATCGGATGATCGGAGGTGAATCATAAATCTTATTCTCCGGGAACCCATACCAATGCCGAGAAACAGGCCCATCTTCCTGTTCCACAGTTTTCTCATACCCTACCGCCCTGACCCTCACAGTTTCCACCTCTTCCGACGATGCCGAATCCTCATCGTTCCTCTTGGCAAAAACGCCACAAAGAATCGCGAAAAGCACAAACAGAATATTGATGGAGTCCCAGCTTTTCCTGACGGAGGTAGGTCGAAGGAGGTTTGAGGTAAAGGAGAGAAAAGGAGGAAGTGCGAGGAAGAGAAAGAGAAGGATGATAATGGGTAAGATAATAATAAGCAGAGGTGGACTCAGAAAGGGAGACGACGAGGATGACCGCGGGTGAGGCATGGAGGTTCACGGTGGTGGTGGTGGTGGTTGTAGTTTGTTCTGTTGTGTTGCGTTGTTTTAGCGATTTGGCTATGGCTGGTTGCTTTGCTTGTGCTGAAAGTGAAGTGTGTGTCTCTGTGTTACTGTTGGAGTTTCATTCATTTCCTTCCATGACGAGCTTTGCTTCGCAGAAACATAAACACGTTACTTTTAGTGGGGAAAAAAATATTCTGAACTCTATCAAAAATAAATTCTCAAGTTTAAAAAATTTCTTATTATATTTTTAATTTACAGCATAATTTAAATTTTTAAAAATATCAAATACTATATATCTTAAAATACTTTGACTTTTTTGGCCAATAAAATAAATGAAAAATTACTCTTTCATTGGTCAGTAGTAGCAATTATCTGATTCTGCCAACTATGTTTACTCTTAAGTATTGCTTTCTCTATTAATAAGATTTTTTTTAAAACCAAAACTATTGATAAGATTGATTTTTGTTTTGTTTTTTTGCCAGCATTCTATTGATAGGATTTGAATTTTGAATTTTGCTAGAGAAAAATTGAATTCACATTGATATAAGTTTTTTTAAAAATATACTCGTATATTAGGACGAGGCTCATGCGTTTGCCAAAAAACGTGTAACAAATTCCCTCAAGCTTCAACTTTTAATATTAGAACTAATTAAAGGATTGAATTTCATTTAAATAAAACATATCAATTCTTTTTGTTTATTATATTTATTATTTTTTTAAATTAACTTACCTAACTTATAAGTTGATATATAGTTTGATAATGTCACACGAAATATTTTAAAGAGATCATGTAACATTTCATATTTGTTATAAATAATCAATTTATTTTTTTTAATCTACCTAAATTAGTTAAATAGTTTTTATATCAAGGATAGATTGTAATATAATAATTTTAACTTATAAGTGAGTTTTTTTTTTAGCATATTTTCCCTAGTTGCATGACTTTGTATATTTTTTTTATGCTTTATATTAATGTTGATTTAAATTCTAAGTCCTTCTGATTTTTGCTTGAAAAACATCAATAGTATATCTTGTAAAAAAGAAATTAAAATTTATTATATTACTCCTTCGGTCCTTATTATAAGACCCCATTTGACTTTTTATTTGGTCCTAATTATAAGACCCCAATCCATTTTGTTTATTATATTTATGCATTTTTTTCCAAAATAATCCTTCTAATAATGATAGTTTTAGCCAATATACTTAATTAGCAAGAATATTTTAGGAATGACAACACTTATTTATTATAAATAACCAACTTAACTTACTTCCTTAATCTCCTCAAAAAAGTCAATTGGGTCTTATAATTAGGACCGGAAGAGTATATCTTTAATAGCTACAACATTTGAAATTGATGGTGGATTGAAATTGCTATTTTGACCATATTAAACAATGCCTTTTTAAAAATTGCTTTTTTGGCTCCACAAAATTGTATTAATTAATGACTTAATAAAGAGTTGAAAAATATAAGTTTGAAAAATTAAACATAACAATACACTCAATCAAATTAAAAAATAAAAATAATTCGTGTTGGCATTGGATTTGAGATTAGGCTGAAAGGAACCCAATATTTTAATAAATATCATACCAATCAACGAAATTCACGTTGATTGGGTCCCCATTTATCAATTCCCTTGTTTTTTTAATATTTAATTAATAATATTTTTAATTATTGAAAGCAACTTTTGAAATGTGCTATAATGCATTTGCCACAGCAATTATGCCCAGCTACAGTTTTAGGACCTGCATAAATTTATATTAAATTTTCTAATTTTAAAATTATTTCAAACACTTTATGGAAAAAAAAAAAACTTCACTTAAAACGTAAAATGGTAGGATTTTATGTCATTTAATTTTTTATATTCTGAATCCTCAAAATAATTTCAAAATATATGATTTTTATAAACGTAACTAGAAATTTTGAATTATGATTTTACCTTAAAGTTATAGTATCAGCCTATTTTTTCCTTAAAAGAATTGGTATTTAAGTAATATTTCGAGCGAAATCATTTTATCCCAAAATATTATTTAACAAAAATGAAAAATAATTTTGACAGAATAAAATAAATTGTACAACTCAGTGAAAGAAATAATTGGTGAAGAATAAAAAGGGAAAGAATAAAGATGCAGGCAAATAGATAAACAAAAGCAGAACCGTCGACAGCTAGATGTTGAAGTATCCATTTCTTTGTTTGTCAGCAAGGAATGCTTTATTATGATTTATATATTACTGTGCCACTATTATATTTCATTCGATTATTATTTGTATTTATTTTAATTAATTTGACTTTAGTTTGGGAAAAAAAATTTGTTGAGATAAGCATAATTCCATGTAATTCCATTTATACACAAACACACATGCACGCACGCATGCATGCAACGCTTACATATGACAGCATTTAATATGCTTCAATAATAACCGTGATATTCAACTCTTCTTTTAATAAATACTTCTCCGGTCCTTAATATAGAATCTAATTATTGAGTTAATTTTAGTCCTAAATATAAAGTTCATTTCTTATATTTATCAATTTTCTCTAAATTATCTTTATGGATACTCCCTCAACTATAATCAAGTAGAAGAGGAAGATGGGGTATTAAGAAATATGATTATAGTATTTTAAGAAAAGGGTGTCACATTTCTTATAATTAACTAACTTACCTAACTTTCTTAATCTAATCAAATTAGTTAAATGGGTTTTATATTAAGAACTGGAGGAGTAGTTATTAGTCTATTTAATTTTAACATTTTTGTCAATTATTTGGGGACACCCAAAAAGTGAATTCGACTGAAAATTTAACTAATATGCATCCGATCAAATAGGTGAACCTTGGGCATTATTTAAAAAAAAAATGTTGAAACATAAGAATACGAATGTCTTTCAGTCAATATAATTTAACATCACAATACGTAATACATAAATTTTACAACATACCACGTCCGGTTCTAATTATAAGACCTTATTTATAAATTATAAATAATATTTTATAATTAGGACCAAAAGCAGTATTATCTTACTCATAAGTTATAAATAATGAAACTCATTTAGAAGTTTCTTATAATATTATCCATCGCATTCAATTATAAAATATATAAAAAAATTTATTGTCAAAATGTACTCAAGGGCTTAGGTCATTAAGCGAGTGAAACTGTTATTTAATTATATACAACATATTTTTAACTACATAAAAATACCTTTTGTTTTGTAAACAGTCAAAAATAGATTACACAGCAACAACAACAATACTCGGACGAAAAATATATTGCACCTCCGACGTTAAAAAAATTTCAAATATACTTAGATAATAAATTTTGTAATGGGAAAATTTTTAAAAAATTTACCAAATATATAGTAGTAAAAGACAGTATTGAGAAATTATAATACTCTTCTAATCCTAAATATAATTTATACTACAAAACAAATTTTATGTTTAAAACATAACAAAAAAATTATAAAATAAGTGGGAGGAAATTAGGAAATAGGAAGACGGAAGTGCCCTTTTTGAGGAGCCTGAATCATTGGAGCGTGACAGCAATCATTGAGCCACATGTCCCCTTTCCAACCACACAGCACTTTTCTTCCCTTTTTTTCCTCTCTTCCTTCCTAAAATATCCTTTATTTATAATCATTTCCTTATTTTAATACTCCCTCTTGTCCCCCATCCAAGCAATTTTTAAAGCAAGCTTTTTGTTTTTGTTGTAGTTTTTTATTTTACAATATAACCTATTTTTACAAGTAATTGCTTTTTGTCCAAAGATCAATTTAAAGAACATTGATTTTTTTAATATATATATCCAAAAAATTTTTTGGTAAAATTAACTTTTTAATAAAATATCATTTAAATATAAATAATTTATCTTAATTTTGATTTGCACAAGTCAAGTGAGATATAAAAGTTAACCTTGTCAACGTTAATTCAAATAAATTCTCAAAAATTTTTAAGTGATCAAAAGGACTGGAAAAGAAAAAAAATATTTAAATTGTTTTGTTAACACCTCCTATGCATAAGTTAAATAGTTAGTGAGACTAACGGAGCAAAGGTATTAAATTTAAAGACGTTAATAGAGCAAAATTAAAGCATTTAATTAAGAGAAACAAACATAAATATGAAACTAAAAAATGAGAGAAAATATAGATAGTCACAAAATAGTTTTTTTTAATGTTTTTTAAATAAAAAAAGGGTTCCTCCTTCCACTTGGGCCTAAAAGAGGAACCCCTTTCAGTCTCATTCGAGTGAAATCGGGCTCAAGTGCAATACAATTCATATGCTTTATTGCTTTATGGGGACAAAATGCGCTCTTTTCCTGTTCATCATGTTCTGTTTCTTTAGATATATATATATATATATATATATATATAATAGATCATATTTTAACTACCTATTTTATACGTGAGAATGAGCCTTGAAAATTAGACATTTTAAGCATAGAGGGTTAGCCTTGAAGCTTTTGTTTCTCTATTTTCAAGTTCCTTAAAAAATTAAGGTTAAAATGCAGCTCCCTCTTTATGGACTAAACCCTACAAAATCATGAAGATGATGATTAAGGAATATTTGATTTTATATTTACAATTTAGACTTTAAAAGATTTATCTCCTGTCCTTTAAAGTTTAGGTTTGTATTATTCAATTCGGATTCTAAACTATTTTAATTTGGTCATTTAGAGCCTAGACTTATGTTACGCAAATCAGACTTTATATACCTATTTTTGATTATTTTACGATAATGCAAGACTTAAATTAAGAAATTTATTCAAAATTTTCAGATCTAACCCCAAACACGAACAATTTGAGCCTCTTAAGAAAAGTCATGGAAATTATGGAACTAAACTTTCGGCCTTCAGCTCATTTAAGCTAATGTGGGTCAGGTAGACCCGTTTTTGAGACAGTCATAAATCCCAAATTCAATCATAAATAAGCTTTCATATATAATTAACAAGTAATCAATGAAGGCTGAGTGTAAATATTTTAAAAAAATAGTCTGGTTACGTGCTAAGATAGGAAGGGCCGATATGGGACCAAGTCTCCCATGAGACGCAGCCAAGCTACCCCAGTGAGCAGTGCGTCACGTTCAAGATGTCGATCATGTTCATATCATCTACTTTAAGCCTTTTCTTTTAATTATTATTCAAAATTTACTCTCAAATGGAAAGATCAACTATAAAATATAAAACATAAAGTTGGAGATAAAACCATAAACATATTGCATAGAAAACCATAAATATAAAATATATTATCTACAAGCAAAAGGGAAAAAAAAGGGAAAATCCCTATTTAAAAATATTAGTGAGGATGACTTAAATTAGAGATAAAGTTTACAAAACAGATATTTTTGTTATGTATACATATTTATCGCATGTTCAAAATAAAATGGTTTCATTACTGTTCGCCTAAGTGGTTCAATGATTGCATGAAATTTTCTAAAAATCAATTATCATATTTTTATTAGCTAGTAATTGATTGATAAATACATTGGTGAGCGCTTTTCTGAGTTTTGAGGTTCATCTTAACTTCTTTTTTTTTTTTAAATATTGTTATCTATCTAATCCAGTTCGGGGTTCATGATTTTCTTTCCCTACAAAGATTTCTTTTCCGGGACTCGAACTTGAGACCTAAAAGAATCTAGCAGGACCTTACACTATTAAATTAACTCTTTGTTGGTTGAGATCCATCTTTAGTGAGGGGGTGTTTGGATATCCTGAAAAGTGCTTTTCAGAAGCATTTTTTCTTAAATCGAGATAAACTCTTCCACATATTTACCTTGTAGACTGTAAAATCACTTCTGAAACTATAGTTTGGTTTCCATCTAAACACCTCCGGAGCCTTTAATATCCAACTCACATTTGGTTTTTGTAAGGTTAAAAAGAATGGGAAAAAAAAAAGAAGTAATGGAGGAGGTAGAGACTAGAGATCCAAGATTGGGACATTGGGATAAAAGGAGGACTGAGGCCAACCATAAAAAGCAACCAATCTTCTATTCTGAACCACTTCATGGCATAGGCAATCAGACAGCTGGGAGCTTACGTTCAATTTTGTCTGTCATTTACGTGATCTTCATCGGGCACATATGCTATTCTTAAATGTGTTTTTTGAGACCATACATACATACATACATATTTCCTACAATGTCTAATTACAATGATCATAGTTATAAATGTAATATATCTATTGTTGCAAAAGAAAAATATTTGTGCATGTTTTGATCTTGGCAATGAAAAATGCAGATTATTTATTTATTTTTCCTTTCAAATAACAATATCATCTCCGTGATTAGTGTCATTAAGTGGATATACTATAGCAATATTTAAAAAAAAAACATATAAACTTGTATCACTTCTGTCCCAAATGTAAATCACTTGTAAAGAAAAATTTTAGTTATAAATAGAAGTTATTTATATATTTAATTCTTATTTTTCAAATTTATCTTTATTTAATTCTTATTGAAAAGTGAGAAAGAAGCTAGATATAAAATGATTTGTAAATATAAAGAAAAAAATCCAAAGAATAAAAAATAATTTTTTATCAATTTAATACATTTCTTTTTTTCCTGCTATCACGTTATGTGAAAATGTGTATTGGCCAAAAAAAATGAAAATGTGACATGTGACTTGTATTAGAGGTGTTTGGATGGAAACAAAATAATAATTTTAAAAATATATTTATAATATACGAAAAAAATATTTATTTTGATTTATCAAAAAAACTTTTTAAAAAAATACTTTTGTAGATTCCTAAATACTTCATAAATATATCCAGATAATAGGTGGGAGCATGGAGACATTCTGGAGTTAAAAGACAGTTAGCAAATGCTTAGACGCAAAACGCCACGTTTGGGGCGGGCGGGTGAAATAACGAATTGGAAGACCGAGGAGTAGGGATACTTCCGTGGCCTGTGGGACACAATTTGGATTTTGGATCCTTCCGAAAACCCTAGCTCCGTTAAACCCTGAATTGGCTGAAACGGAGTCGCCGAGGCACTTGGCATTTGGCAACAAAAAAGTCAGGGATGGTTTGGTTTCAATGCGAGGATTGTGGTGACAATCTGAAGAAACCCAAGTTACCGAATCATTTCAGAACTTGTTCCGCTTCTAAGGTTCTTTTTCGATCCCACTTACATTCTTGTTATCGATTGACACACTGGTTTATTCGTTTGCTAGATTAGATTAATTTCGTGAACGCAGCATATAGTTGGGAAATGAAATGATGAAGCCACTTTGGTTATTTTGGTACACCGACCCTGCTGTTTTGCTTAATTAATTTTTTTTCCCTGACTATATATTGCAGTTGTCATGCATCGATTGTGGAGAAATATTTGGGCAAGACACCGTTCAGCAGCACACACAATGTATTACGGAAATGGTACGCCCCTCTGTATCATAATATTCTTATTGGATCAAGTCGGATAAACAGGAGTCTTTCAGCTACTTCTTTTTCGAAGTGGATTATTGTTCTATGGCAATGAATGAGAACGAAAGATGGTTTTGAATTTGAACCTTTTTGTCCCTTTCCGATAAATTCAAAATCTGGGCGCCTCAAACGGGGTATCTTTAGATTTAGAGTGTCTGAGGATTAGTTCATCTTGGATTTCTCCAGCGTGTGGTCAGGGACGCTTCTATCAAGTTTCCTTTCTCTAGTGATGTTTATTGTTGGTTGCTCCATGGTTGTCCACTATGTGCTCAAAGATCATTCACTCCGTTCTGATTATTGGCATTTGAATTTTTGCTCATGTTTCACCACAGCATTGCCTCATTTTATTCTTTTTGGGCTTTGTTTACTTTTGTCAGCTTATTGATTGAGGTTTGGTAAAGCTTTTGTCCCCCCTTTCTTACTTTTGGCGGTCCTTGGCTTTGATAGTTTTGCTGCGATGTTATTAGTAATTTGATTAAGTTTTATTTCTGGTTTGCCCTTGACCCTCTTAGCTTATAAAGGTAATTTTTCTCACTCTTTAATCCAGGAAAAGTATGGTCCAAAAGGCCAAGGCAAAACTTTGAATGTTACAACTGCCAAACCTAACAATAATAACAAGCAAAAGCCTGAAGTTGATATTCATGTTGGGTTATCAGAAAGACCTCCGTGGTTTTGTAGGTATGCTCTATTGGTTGCACTTTCTATCACCGTGCTATTCAGGGTGTACGTATTGAATAGTTTGTCTACTGAAATGACATTTTAATGTTTTAAAGTATAATGATTTTCCTGGTCTTTATGTTTCCTTGGGATGGGATTCAGGCTTCCTAGTTCCTGTTCTCTGCATGAATTGGCTTGCTACTTATAATTTATTGCACTTTTGGGTTTATGGGATCGTCAAGGTTATAGTTTGAATTGTTATGTGATGTAAGCAGAGAATGTCAAAATGGACAGGAATAGGTGCTAGTAAGTTCAAGGCATCTAATCATGTGCGCTTTTTGTTGCTTTAGGAAGTATTTTACAAAAATCTATGTAAAATCATTTATTTATGCCTATCTTATGAACCAATGCTCTGTGCGAGGTATAGCTCTTTTTAATAGTAGATTTTCAGCCACTAAGGTGGGACCATCTTAGCCAAATAGTAGTTTGCAATCCCTGCTGAGTTGTAACTCAAGGGATGTACGTTTGAGTAGATACCAAGTATACTTGTTGGAATTATGTTTTGTGAATTGATTGCTAGTAAAATGTTGAAATATCTTTTTTAGTACAATTGGCTTCATTGACTTTCTCTTACCTCTTCGTTTAGAATCCACGCAGTTATTAGTTCTATTGCAAAAAACAACTGATTATCTGAAATACCCTTACAGATGTGTCATGTTAATAATTGGGAATTGAATTGTGCCTGTACTTGGTTCCCAGAATCTTAAGTTATTAACTAAGCTTTGTTGCTGGCTGCACTGCTACCAAATTCATTCTCCTTGATTTATTTGTTGCTTTTCAGCCTCTGCAACACAAGAGCTACGAGTAAGCAAACACTTCTTCTCCATGCCGATGGAAAGAAACACAGGGCAAAAGCTCGGGCATTCCATGCTGCAAAGCAACAACCAACTCAGATGGACGCATCTTCTCCGGATGCAAAGCTTCCAGTGGAGCAAGCCTCCAATGATAAGGTCCAACTCAACAATAATGGACAGCAGACAAAATTGCAAGATCCATCTGAACACAATAACTTGAAATCGGGGAATGAAATCTCTCAATCAAATAAAAAGAGGAAATCTGATGTGGCGGAGGATGACCCTAACAGGAAAAAGGGCAGGGATGACAATTCAGGTGAGTTGGGAAATGGGGAAGTAGTTCAGGCTGAAGGAGCAGAGGCTGGGAGAAAAGAAGATCGTTTGAAGAAAGAAACGATGGTTAATGACAAGAAGAACATAAAGTGGAAGAAGTTTATCAAATCAGCGTTGAAATCTGTAAGTATCTGTGGATTCAGAGTGATATGTGTGCTTATTTTGTGTTTTATTTTGGACGATGCGCAGTTCTTATCCTCATAGTGAGCTTGAGATTGTATGCATGGACCTTCTGTCCTCTCCGATGAATTTCCTTTAAATATGCCTTTTCCGAGTGAGGGGTAAATTTTAGCTAATTTAGTTTGCCTATGTTTTGTGCGCCTGTTTGTGCACTTACATGTGCTTTCTTTTTCCTGGGAAGCAGCATCCTGATGGAAAATTGAAGATGAAGAAGTTGAGAACACATGTCTTGAAAGCCTTGCAGGAATCTGGCGTTGAAGTTGATGAAACTGAACTTAGTGAGGCACTTGAGCATAAGGTTGGCCCATTCGATTGTATTTATGTTCATTTATCTCTTCCCAATTACATGTGTTTCTTATGAAATTTCGTATGGTGACAGATCAATTCGAGTTCCAGATTTGCAGTTGAGAAGAAGTATGTGCGGTTGGTGGCCAAGGATGGTGACTAGTTGCAACCTTATAAGCTGGAATCCCTGGCTTTTATTTGGTGATATTTTGCTATTGTTTAGACGTTAATTGATATCGTTTAGAATTGAAAGGAGGCGGGTCCATTTTTGCGTCTAAACCTACTGAGGAAGTGAAGGAGGACGAGGTTGTTTTAATTTATTTTTTAAGCCTCCCCCGTCTCCCTTTACAAAATTTTTTTGCAGGAACAAATTGATTATTATTACGCAATTGTATTCAGTTGTTGTATAAAATGATTTTGAATCACTGAAAGGAAATTTCCTTTATTGTTTATTGTTTATCACCACCATTGTTATGATATTTTTTTATTTTTAAATTCAGTAAAAGTTTAAGATGATTTTAATTAAATGAAGAGCGCAAATAAGTTAAAAAAAAAAAGTCATCATGGCCAGGATATTATTAAATTCTTATCGACTTTTTTTTGGGGGGGGGGGGGGGGGGGGATCACTCATGACTAGGCAAATCATGCGCCCTTGAAATTGAGTTATTGCGTCTTACGCCTTGCGCAATGGCATGCTTCCAAGGGATTACTGACTTGGCCGAAAGTTCCTATATCGATTCTAAAGAGAGAAGTAACATCCGCGTCTTAGTTTCGCTTGATGCATTATATTCCTCTGGTTCTAAATAGGGGATACTTTTTGTAGTGTAATTTTACACTATAAAAAGGATTTTATATTTAAGATTAGAGGAAGACATATTTTTACAAGGATATAAAGTGGAATGAAGTGCTACCGGTAGATATAAAACTCATTTGATTTTTATTTTAGTTTTAAATATAAGACTTCAATTTATTTTTTCTCTTATATTTATTTAATTTTTTTCAAGATAGTACTTCTAATAATAATAGTTTTAGTTCATAAATTTGATTGATAAGGATATTTTAATAAAGACAACACATGTTTATTATAAGTAATTAACTTAATTTATTTTTTTAATTTACTTAAATTAGTTAACTAGATTTTATATTTAGGACTGAAAGTAGTAATAGATATCGTTTCGTCTCGGTAGAAAAAGGAAAATGAATATTTTTCTCCTTCATATCAGAAATAATTAAGCACGAAAAAGCTTTTTGTTTTTTAAATTGAAAAAAGCAGAAGCCTCGATGTAGTTTTCTTAATTCTACATATTTTTCACGTCAACAATATAAACGGATAAACGGGAAAATGGCATGAAAAATGATTGTTGAATTTAAAATTTTCAAATTATGACCTCAAAATAAGAAAAATTCTCCTCTTCATACATGATTAAATAGAGATTTTGGTTTTTTTAAAAAAATTATAAAAATCCCCCTTACTGCCCTCCGGCATATCCAGCATCTTGAACTATTTTTTTCTAGTGTATATCCAGCATCCGAAAGTATTTTGTGATGTATCTAGCATCATAAAATAGTTTTCAGGTGCTTTGAAAGTATTCTTTTGCCTTAAAATGCATTAAAAAGATATTTTAGGGTATTAGACGTATTTAAAAAATATTTCAAAGTGTTGGATGTACTTGAAAAAAATATTTTGGAGTATTGGATGAACCTGAATCCTTAAATGAATTTAAAGGTTAGACTGGTCAACCCGCCATAATTTTTCAACAAGTTCATGCAAATTTGAAAAATGCAATTAACTGTATCAAATCCACAAAATCAAATAAATAATATAGCATAGATGACAAAATACTCCTCCGGTCCTAATTATAAGACCCAATTGATTTATTTGAGGAGATTAAGGAAGTAAGTTAAGTTGGTTATTTATAATAAATAAGTGTTGTCATTCCTAAAATATCCTTGCTAATTAAGTATATTGGCTAAAACTATCATTATTAGAAGGATTATCTTGGAAAAAAATGCATAAATATAAGAGACAAAATGGATTGGGTCTTATAATTAGGACCAAATAAAAAGTCAAATTGGGTCTTATAATAAGGACCGGAGGAGTATGAATATATTATCTACAAAGTAATAATAAAATACAGATGAAAATCATTAAAGTAATAATTATATATAAATAAAATTAATATAAAATTTAACACGGATAAATAACAAAATATTTGAATATCATGACCTCCATATTTGATTAAAAAATACAAATTAGAAAGGCGAATCCACAAGTTAAGTGGGTTGGGCTAAACTTGGTTCATTTTCGAATGGGTTGCAATTTTTACAACCAATCCAAGTTAAAAAGTTAGGCCCATGTACGTTGAAAATTCTATAAATTTAAGTGAAAATATCTTGATATGGAAAACACAGATATTAATTTTTTTTACATATTTTAATTTTTTTGAAATTTTATTTTAATATAAATAATATTTTTGTTTCAATTTCTTAAACTGTTGTCATTGAGAGATTATGAACAAATTCCTTCAAAGACGGCAGTTTCCCTTTTCTATGAATAAGTATAGCTTGAATAAGATATAAAACAAATTAAAGTTGAAAGAACTAAATTAAAACATGAGCCAGAAGACCAGATCTACGTAAGGTTAAAGGGTGTTCTGTCAAAGTGGATTGCAAATCAACAGACCACTTACTCCGCAAGAATACAAGGTTGCCAAATATCTCCTACGAAATCAAGAGTGAAAAATTTAGCATCAAGCATTGTAAATATTGAGCGATACGTCCCAGGTTTTTTTTTCAAGTGCAGAAACCTCAAGACCAGAGTGGTAGGATTTATTCTCATAATAAAATATATTAATTTTTTTTTTGCGAAAAATTTGGAAATCCAAAATAAATGTTTGATAATCAAATGAATATATCTCACAGGAAGTACATGATGTGTGCTCAGCCACAAACTAATGCATGTGATTATTTATTACAAATGTCATATAAACATCTTTGTTTTTGTTGGTTTTGAAATATGTCTTTCTTCTTCAGCTACGCAATGAAATTCATGGGATTCTTAACCAAACTCAGTGGGCTGGTGATACATGAATATCTATACAGGCTGGAGACTTACGAGAGAGAGAAATGGACCCCAAGGCCCAGACATTAGCACTTGTAGAGCAAGGCAAGGAGATGACACGCCTTCCTCTGGGATCCTACGTTGTGTTTTTTGAATCCCATGTCTTGTATTAATTACTACTTATGTTTCTTATTATACTCTCTCTGATCTTAGATATAAGATCTATTTTCACTACAAAATAAATTTTATATTTAGGATTGGAGGAGTAAAAGTTTATTTAACTTTTAATTTGATCTCAAGTATAATACTTTAATCCATTTTTTTTCATATTTACTTATTTTTTTAAAGTAGTCCTTGTAATAATTACACATATTAAAAGTTTCATCAAATGGTAATTCTAACTAATATACATGATTAGTAAAGATATTTTAAGAAAAACAACACCTATTTATAACTAATAATTAATTTAACTAATTTTTTTAATCTTTCTAAATTATTTAATTTTTTTAATCTTTTTAAATTAGTTATCTAAGTTTTATATTGAGAATATGAGGTAGTATTAAGTAGGTAATTGGAGACTCCATAGATACGATTTGATTGCACGGTGATGGTGACGATTCAACGTCAAACAGCACCCGTATTATCTCGCTGCGGCCGCTAGATTCCACAAACTAATGATTATGAAAATCTCCTACCAACCTTCAAATCTGTGGCTGGGTGTTTGTCCCCCACAGTCACCCCTTCTCAACTTGGTCAACAACTTAAATTTAATTAATTACTTTTAAAGATTTTTTATTATCATATCTTGTCCCTTAATACTACTTTTAACTAATTTTTTTTAAAATAAAAAATACAGCAGCTTCTTACATTAAATATAGAATTTTTTTTTTTTTTTGTAAAAAAGTGCTTGAGTTTAGAACTTAATTATACGGTTGAACCGCTTCATGATGTCTGGGTATAGACTTTACGCGTTCTCTCTTAGCAAAATTTGTCCAGTCAACATCCGTTACGCGTTTTCTCTAATTGTTACAAAAAATTGTCAATACAGAGGGGAAATCATTTTGAAGGTATCTATATTTTTTTAATTTTTAATCTCGTACCTATGTGTTTTTTGATTAAATACTACCTTCAGTCCTAATTATAAGAGTCATTTAACTAATTTAAAGAGATTAAGAAAGTAAGTTGAGTTAGTTATTTGTTCTAAATAGGTGTTGCCTTTCCTAAAATATCCTTATTAATCAAGTGTATTAACTAGAATTATAATTATTAGAATGACTATTTTGGAAAAAAATTGAATAAATATGAGAGACAAAGTGAATTGTGGTTTTATATTTAGGACTAAAATAAAAGTCAAACATGGTTTTATATTAAGGACCGGAGGTAGTATTTAATTTTGCTTTATTAACATCTTTAACCCTTGCATAGAGACTAAAAATGTCAATAGAACAAAGTTATAAGAGCTAATGTTGCTAAAAAAATTTAAATGATTTAATTAAGAAAAAAAACACAGATACCAAATTAAAAATTAAGAGAAAGTATAGGTACCTTCAATATAGTTTTTCCAAAAATTTATTTAAAAATAAGGTTAGATTATACAAAATTTTCTGAAACTTTATGTTATATGTGAATAATCTGATTAACTTTTGAAACTTTATCATAAACATGTCTCAATTTAACAATTATGCAGATAACTCGGGTACTATTGGTTTATGTTCATTATTTATCTGTTAATAGTGACTTAAATTTTAAGAAAATTATCTAAACATAACTCAAAATTTGAGAAGATTATATTCATACAGAAATAACATTTAAGAAATATAAAATTAATAGTTTGGGATTACATGTATATTCTTGAAAGTTTGGAGATTCCTTACTATTAAATTTTAATTAAAAGTTATTAAGAAAAATTATATACACCCGAGAATTTTATGCAATTTAAAGCTTCAACTTTCATTGGTCTTCGAAGATCCTTTTTCCGATCAAATAAGGTTAAAGAAAACAGTGATGCCTTATAAAATAGGAAAAAAAAAGAAGCAATAAAACACCCTAGAATTTGTTAAAGGACAAATTAGTGTACTCAAATTTCAAAATCCCAATTCAGATCTCTTTTATCATTTCAAAATTTTCAAATCTTACAAAATTACACATATGTCCTTCATTATTTTTTCTTAAATATTGCCACCGTAGCACCCTTAGTTGTTTTTTTGCCGCTGGAGCTCTAACATGGGTGACCTTGTCGGTGGCTAGCTGCTAGAGTCCGCTGACTACTCTTTTTTATGTTTG